ATCACTTTTCTAAATTTTTTTCATTTTTAACTTTTTAAAAATTTCTATCACTTTTTTGAATAACAAACATAGGTTTTGAGTATATTTGTCACTTTTTTGAGTGTTTTGTCACTTTTTAAAGTATATTTGTCACTTTTTTTAGTGTGTCACTTTTTTTGAGTTTATGTCACTTTTTTTAAATTTTTAAAAAAAGTGACATTGTGTCACTTTTTTCATTTTACACAGTATTTTTTACTTCCTAAAAATCTTTCACATGCTTTTTCAAAACACCCCTAATTTTAAGGGTATTTTTGTAAGTACCCCTTGATTTTTTAAGTTTATCTCACTGATTCAGCCAGACTGCAGTTGCCACCGGAGGAGCCCAAGAAGGAAGATATTGTCGCCACTAGAGAAGTCTAGGAAGAAAAAGAGGTGGTCAATCCATTTAAAAATCTCAACATGACTCTTTTTTTTACTGTTTTTGTCTCTGTTTTTTTTAAGGACTAGTGCAATGAACGTGCGTTGCACGTTAGTTGGTTGGTTTTTAAAAATGAGAATATATGAATTTTCAAGAAATTTAGGTATTTAAAAGTGATAATATATGAATATTCAAGAAATTTATATGTAAACGTGAAATATATTCATAAACATATCAACAAAAGAGAATGTGTTGTTTATAAAGAATAAATGATTGTAGGAAGAAGTAAAAGAAATTAATGAATAAACACTGAAGTAATATATTAAATTTACAACATGAGCTCTTCGTTAAAAAGTGAAAATGTTGAATACTTTTGTTTTAAATCAAATATTACATAATTTGTTTGAGTTCATAGTTTTAAAATGTCAATAACTAAAAAAGGAAAGAAAAAAAATCTACGTGCGCACGGAGGTTCCGTGTGCGCATGGAGACACTATGTGCACATAGAGACACCGCGTGTCTCCATGCTAGATGGAGACACGCCTAGCATGGAGACACGTAGCTAGATGGAGACAAGGGATGGAGAAATGCCCGTGTGGATGGAGAGACACAGTGTCTCTGGATGGAGACACGATGCCGTGTCTCTATGCCTCCGTGTTGATGGAGAAATTTTTTTTCTTTTTTTTTTTTTTAAATAATAGTGAAGGTTAAAGATTTCCCACATATAACACAAGATTTTTAACTCAATCAACTCAATTGCTAGTTTAGGCCTAATAATACACTAACTTTCCATTTGGTCATTTCATCAAACACTTTAAATGCAACCTATTTTTCTAGATTAAGTTTTAAATCAAGGCACAAGTTTTGCATTTCATAAACACCATCAACTACTCCACAATCTAACTAAGCCCATACCCCTTGAAATTCATAAAAACCATTCCCACTGTTCTGTTATTGCTAGACTGAAAAAAATCATCTATCAAATTCGCGGGCTAATTATTTTCTTCAACTCTCTATTAACCAAAAAACATAAGAGAAAACAAATCAAATACAATATATACACAAGAAAATAGATTATAACAATTCTGTTTCATACCCTTTCGTTGTCTTATTTTAAGGCTTTCTTGTTGTTTCTGAATTTAATATCCAGGTAAGGATTTTGATTATCAAAGTTCTATAGCTATACAGAGTTCATCCAATTCATTTTATCTCCATTGCCTCTACTTTTTCGTCCAAAGCATCACTGCTTTTCTTCAATGGTATAAATTCTTCCAATATTGGCTTAGTACTTGATTTTTTGCATTGCATTAACTCTCCCTCAATTATCGTAATTGCTGCAATGGTAGTCATCAAAACCTAAAAATAAGCATTAACACTGTATTCCAACTACCAAATCCTCCTAAAATCTACTGTTAGACATTAACATTGACGAATCAATGTAAATGAATGGCTATAATCCAAACCTATATTCCAACAGTCAAATCCTTCTAAAATCTATTGTTTGACATCAGCTGCAAATGAAAAGGCATGGAGGAAAGGAAGAAGAGAGAAAATGGAGGAAGTGAAGGAGAAGTTTGCTGTGAGGAGGAGGAGTGAGTGGTTACGTAATATAATGGAGAAGGAGGACGCTAAAAATTTGACTAATTTCAGGGTTTTTTTTTTTTAAAATGGGGATTTTTTACAAGGTCTGGAAATGGCGACACGTGTAAGATATACTTTGCCTCTTTTAATATATAGTGAATTAGGTGTATTTTTTTTTTTCCATTTTATTTTAAACTATCATACCCTATAATTTTTATGTAAACTATGGGTTTATATTAATTGTTCTTGCTTTCTTTGGATTTATACTTCATCTCTTACGGGCAGGGGCGAAGCCCAATGAAGTCTATGTCTGCACTTAACTTTTGGGCCCAACCCAATGGCCTAATTTGTTTTTGGAAAAAAAATCATAAATCCTACTTTAAGTATAGACTATTTCAAAAATAAGACAACAACTTTTAAATTTCAAAAATCAGATATTTAACACACACATATAAATATAGGGTGTGTTTGACCGTTCCGACGATTTCTCTGATTCGACGACTATTCTGGTGACCGTCACTGATTTATACAATATGGTCACAGATTCACAATTTAATGAGTTATATATTAATTTTCGGTCACAAATCATAATTTTTATACATCAACAATTATTTTACGGTCACAGTTCAAAAATTTTATAGGTTACAATTTGTTTATCGGTCACGGATTAAAAAAAATTTAGATCACGAATTATTTCGAGATCACAAATCAACAATTTTATAGGTCACTGATTATTTTATTGATCACAGATAAAAAAATTACAGGTCACAGTTATCTACTTATCTATCAGTCACATATTTTTAAATTTATTGGTCACAGATTAATTTTTAGTCACAAATTGTTGAATTTTAAAGTCACAGTTAGTTCAAATAGTTGGTCACATACACCAAACATCCTACCACCGACCCCGATCTACCACCAATCTTGGTCATGAATCACCACCAAACAACCGTCGCCACCACCACCTCAAACAAATCAACTGAAAAACACCATCGCACGGTCCGCACCAGATCCATCACTGCACCGACAGACCCATTACCACCAACATCTCACCATCACCCACTACCACGACCACCACCGTCGACCATCACTACCACCTCCGACCACTGCACAGTACAAATCAAAAACCAAACAACTCTCAAAATTCAACCACCAAATTGGCACCCATGGCATTCCCACACACAAACCACCCGCC